TCCTCCCCCTCGCCGGGATAGCCACTATCCATCAACCCCTCTCGACCTATATTATTTAGCTTCTACTCCTGTTCTGGGGAGCTTCGGTTTCCCAGAGCCTCACCAGCTTTGTTTGTATTATCTCTTTAACATGCTATGTATTAACAAATATGTATATAGGACGCGGCGTTGTGCACACCCATACACGCTCCTAAAAACTGGGCATACCACTAGTCTAAGAATATTAACTGGTAGGGTCACGATAATACAAAACTATCAACATCGTCCTAAAAATCACACAAGAAATTCAAAATCCAGGTAACGTGTGCTCAGATGTCCATGGTGCCCACCCGTACAGAATGTCTGCTCTGAGATGCCCATTACTTGGACAAGTCGCTCCGCCTCCGCCGCTGATCTGCGGAGCGCTCCGCCTGCTGACGGGTGAGGCGGAGCGACATGCTTGTGTAACGGCCAGATTATCATAGAAGTAACAAAAGCATCTTGCATGTACAGCTGAGTGCATGTGTTACTTGTAATGTGAAGTTTCCCTGTTTCTCCTCCTAGTTGTACTCCTGCCCCTCCCGGCTGCGCCTTTGCCCGGCCCTCCCTCGGCCCACCCCAAATCTCAGTTGTAATTTCTGTCTACCACTGAATTACTATTTTATCCAAATGGGTTAGGATGAAGTTCGTTCACTTCATCAATGTTGCTCGCAATGAAAACTTCATGAATGTTTCTCATACGTTATTCGCCAAACATAAGTGATTTAGCTGCTCGTAACGAAAACTATGTCTTCTGCGATACACAATGGTCTAACTGCTTGCCGTTAATATCCAGAACACTTTACCAAATCAGGTTGCACTCACATCCAGAGAGAGGCAATGAAAATTTTGGGCAATGTGTGTTCCATTACGTCGTATTCTGCCTCAATTAATTATTCTGTAATTCTAAGCTTACCACAATTCTACTGCCTTTATGCTTATAGGAACTAGCTGCTTGTTTCGCAAAGAATAAAAGTCAACGCTTACAATAAAAACATTACTTACGAGCAAATGATAGGCTATAGCAAGTTCTAAATCTAGCTCTAAGTCTGCACAGTTCAACCACAAGATAGTATCAGTAACTTGGCATAACGGCAAAAAAAACCACACTTTTGGCGCGGAATCTGGCTACTAAGGCGAAAGTCCCACTTTTTTCTAGAAAATATTGAGCCGAAAGCTTCTATA